CGTCACTGCAGCTCTCTCGTCTCCTCTTCACACACCACACTTTTCGCGGCACACGTACTTACAGCCAATCAGCTCTGAATGATGTGAGATGACGTATGGTGGGGATGGCAGCTCTATGCCCCTATGGTCATTATTTTTTTGCCACACACATTAAATAGGACAATATTCTGAGCATGCGCAGTGTAGTTTTTACAGTCACCATTGACTTAAACAGTGAGAGGGAGGGGCAGGATCGGGTTTTGTCCCACATGGCTTTAAACAGCTCAATAGGCACACACTGTAGACACTAATTAGAAGAACACAGACTAAAACAGCAATGAGACGAATCAGATGATTAAACATGATCTTTTTTTTGTTGCATTTTTTTGTAATCATTACTTTTAATACTTTCTGCTGACACTAGGTGGGGCTGTGCCCACCTGCCCCTAATGACCAGTCGCCACTGCACATAGTAGGTGAATGTTATTAGTAAATGACTTGAATGCAGAGCTGATTCTTGTAAATATGTTATTGTGTAGCATTTTGAAAAAAGAATTGCGGCGCTGTTGGGTTCAGAATTCCAGAAAAGACAGACAACTTCTAAGTTGAACTATTTATTGTAAAGAGAGCAAAAGATATATATCACTTGGCCAAGGACTCGTCACGTCTCCGGGAATCACAGGCAGCAAAGCTGTAATCTGTAACCACCAAATCCGTCAAGAGCCTCGAACCTCGTGCGACAACACATTTTATCACACAGGGCGTTGCCCGTACATTTATGATTGGTCAAGACTAGCTGAAGAAATACCGTGGTTTAGACTTGGTTCTCTTTGGTCGGTGCGCAGACTCAGATAGAGTCTCTTGGCAACACGATCCTCCAATCAGCATTCGGCCGGCCTGTGGAAGTCCCTCCCTACTCTGGCACCATCATACTCATTTGTCTTCTCTAACGTTTCTTCAGATATAGCGGGAAACCATAATGTTGCTTCCTAGCTTTGCGGGGGAGCGCGGCTCTCATACAAAGTGAAGGCCGGTGCGATGTGCTGTTCTGACTACCTCTTTGTGTTCTCTCAGTCTCTGCACTCGACCTTGCTACCTTCAATATTGCAAGCTAAACACTTTCTCATGTAACTTCTCCCTTCGTTCCTGTCCACCCCATCAAAACTTGGGGGGGGTGATTGGGTCCATTTATTCCTAAGTCACAGCACATACAATGAGCACAATAAGCAAATAATGTAATAATAAGAATCTTGTAATGTTATATACAAATAGACTCCACAGCGCATATAAGATGAAGTCTACCGCTACAAGCCAAATTAATTGTAATAATATGATATTCAAATCTGTCAAAAACATCTCATTGCTGCTAAGAACGTGTACAACAGACATCTTATTTAAGGGCAAGTTCTTAAAACAACAAGTCATTAACTAACCAATAAGTAATAAGTAACTTAAAGTACAAATGCAGTGATAAAGTCAAATGTATTTGATGTTCCTAACAATGAAGTAAAATAATCATGGTAAAGTAAAAAGCAAAGGCAATCAGGCATGTACATGTACATTGCTTTCGTTGTTTGTTCTACATTTCTGTAACAACTTCTTTAACTGCGGTGTAGGTAAGACCTTTGTATACACCACTGGTGTCATACTGAAGCACGCTGCCATTATTGCAGGTTATTTTCACAGTGCCAGTGTAAGGCAGGTCAATGGTGGCTCGACCGATTGTAATGTCAGCTTCCACCTTCTTTCCTGCAGGAACACGTATGGTAAAGGATACCGTCTCCGTTCTCTCTTCAGTGTTTTCCAGACTGTAAGAGCTCTCTGTTCCCATGGTCAAGCTGAATCCAGTTGAACCCTCGATTACCCCTGGAATCCCTGCACTCACTTCTATACTGAAAGTTGCCTCCATGCGGTTGGTCACAGTCCAAGAGGACTTCTTTGTAATCTTCTTGGAGGATTCAATCTTGTTGACTTGGTCGGCTGTGGTGTTGTTGTCGTAGGTGATGGATTTGATTTCTTCTACAGTCACCTGCGGTACAACTTGGCTCATTGTTGGGTAGTTGACGTCCATCAAAACGGTGCTCTTGACATCCCTGAGGAACCTGAAGCCCATTTGGTTAACGTCTTTGCCACATCTTCCAACAACCCCGAAGCAGATTCCAGAGCCAACATCGATGGGGTATTCTGTCTTCAATCCCCAGCTGGTCATTTTGGCAAAGAACTTTCTGGAACGATTTGTCTTGAATTGTATGGCCCCTAGACGAGTACCTTTTCCATTCCCCCACAGCGACAGAGAGGTGAAACACTCCCCAGGCTGAAATGTATACTCTTTACTAGAACCAGATCGTTGCCCAAAAAGATCATTACTTCCATCTGTGAGGAAGACTTGGACACCCCTCACCTGCGAGCCTCCTACCCACACATTCAGCTGCTTTAGCGTGGCTCCAGTTTTCTTTCCAGTCAAGGAAAACGATCGACCACTCTTGCCACCGATTTTAAACAAGGTTGTTGAATAAGGCATCTTGTAGGTTTTAGATAAGATCTGAAATGGAAATGTTCAGTTAAATACCACTGCTTTAAATATTTAAATAATGTGTTTAAAATGTCAAGAAAATTAGATTTTCAGCATGGAATTGCACGCAATGTCATTGTTACATCAGATATTGGAGAAACACTTTAAAGACGATTTTTGATCTTTTTATTTGTTTGAGTCAGGATAGTACTTGTATATTGAATATTTATCAATGTATTGCAATTAAGCATTCCAATATGCCTTGGCCTTATAAGCTCTGCTCCTTCCAGTCTTCCTGCCTGTGATACCGGATGGCTCACAGCTTCACATCCCATGCACGAGGAAGGAGTGCTACTTATTTTGGAAACCCCCCATATAGGGTGTATACTGGGCTGGCCTAAACTAAAACTGTAGGCTGGAGTGGACAACGTAGCTTTTTAGAGTGTCAAATTAGTTGAGAAATTGTCTCACTAATGCGTGATTGAAAACATTTTCAGAATTGTTAAAACTGCAGCTTTTTCTAGCCTGCGGGAAAAGCCTTGTTGGTTCTGAATTTGGTTTGCGCAATGATCTATAGGCATTACGGTACACAGTGAATAAACAATGCAAATGGTCCAAAAATGACGGGAAGTTCACTTGATACTACTACCCAAACTTGTTGTCCATATACTTACTTAATTTAGCATAAACAACTAAATATATTGTTTTAGCAGCTCATACCCCTTTTCCACCAAAGCAGTTCCAGGGTTAGTTTGGAGCCTAATCTCAAACCTGTTCATTGCTTTCCCACCGCCAAAGAACCGGCTCTAATATTAGTATTTTAAACTTTGATTGGACGGCCGGCATTGCGATTGGTAAGCACTGCAATTGGGCAACATTTCAACTATTCCACTAATTCACTGCCAAAAATGGAAAAATGCAAGAGGGGTGCTGCTTTGGAAGAAGAGCATGCAAGCACATCTTTGAATAAGTACAACATGGGTAAGAGGCACGAGAAGTTAAAAAAGCAGGTTCAGTAAAAACGGAATCTAGTTGTTTCCATTGTTGTGGTGCTCAGTAATTGGGGCTAGCATTATGTGGAGAGCAGAGAAGTACACTGCTAACATGTCCAGGGGCTAGAGAGCCACTTCATTAAGTCATAGAAGGGTCGCTCCTTGAACCAAGATAAACAGGCTCTAGCACTGAACTGGCTCTAGGTTCTTGTTGGTGGAAAAGGGGGAGCTAACTGTCCCTTGAAGAATGTAATTTGGGTATCTCAATTTACTGTAGAAACTGCTAAATGTGGCGCCGGCATTGCTATAGTTCTGGCCAGTAGGGGACTAGCAATACATTGCCCAATGGACGCATTTGAACACCGTTTCTTCAGTTTGTTCTGAAGAAAAGCACAATCCTTTAATTCTATTTATTCTAATTCTATTCAATTTGTGGCTAAACCGGCATTGCTGTTAAAGTATGTCGGCCGAAGAAATCGTAGCATTAAGTGGCAGAATAAGCCCAACCAAGGGGATCTTAACACATGATGCATCATTCCTAGGCTGGCCATTATTTAAGGGGTGACCCTTTGAACTGGCTAGCAGTGATCTAAACAATAACATAACGTGCTTTGTATTTATGTAAATTAAAGCATTTTGAGTAGTAAGCACAGGGTATTCTATTACAAACAAATATTGAATTATGGCTCACCTTATTTGGAGTGTTGGTGAAGATAATCTGAAAGCCATTCTTTTAGCAGCAGCATCAACTAATACGTTTAGGATACGGTTTAATAAAATATGTGAATTACAAGCAAGTAGTTTCAACAAGTCTGTATATGAATGTTTATAATCAAAGACGATGCTCTAATATTTATGCTTCAGGCAGGCTCCCCCCATAATACTGAGGGTTCTTGTCATTGGTTAATACATTTCACAGGCTTTGTTGTTTTTATCCTACAGTTGACGGTAACTCGCACAATTTGAGTTGTGCTTTTTATAACCTACTAAAATACTTGGAAAGTAGTTGCTCACCTGACCCGTGCTTTCCCAAACTTGCCTTGCTGTATGAATGGTATGCATCTCCTACACTGTGATGTCCTTCTAACTTTGTATCCAGTGGTTTTAGACTGATTATGCTGGCTGTCTTAAGTACGCACGCAATTTCAATGTTACATCAGATATTGGAGAAACATTTGAATTGAAAAGCTGGTTTTGATCAGTCTACTGAGACACACCATCACTGTAAGCCCGGATAAGTTGAATCTACTTAAAAAAATAGCGTAAAGTGGTTTCCTTTAAAAATGTAAGTAACGCATTATGAAAACTTGAGTAAATTAAACTTAAATTATTCAAGGACTGGAATTGTTATTTGAAGTACAATGCACTTCATGTCAAGTTGATTTTACTTAAAATATTGTGTAATATCAATTGTTTTTTTCCAATTATTTAACTTAGAATGTTTAGTTGAAAGTGGTTACATTTCGTATTTATATTTTTGATTCCGTCAACTACAAAAAAGAAAAAAGACACAAAAATAAAGTTTGACCTTTTATTAAAACTTGAGTGTTTCATTTGGATACAATGAAATTGAGCTTCCTATACAAACTGTGGCAAAAATATTGTACCATACATTTTCCTGAGAACATGTTTCACATGAAACAATAGCAATCTCTCTATATATAAAGATATATAGTTATATATCTATAAAAATAGATATATAGATCTATATATCTATGTAGAGCTCTGAAAAAATTAAGAGACCTCTGTAACATTATCAGTTTCTCTCGTTTTACTATTGGTAAAAACTGGATTAACATTTGTGTTTTATTCTATAAATTAATGACTGACTACATTTATCCCAAACTCCAAATATTCTCATTTAGAGCGTTTATTTACAAAAAATACCAAATGTTCAAAGTAACCAAAAAAGATGGTGTTTTCAGACCTCGAATAGTGCAAAGAAAACAATTTAAAATTCATTTTTCAACAACACAATACTAATGTTTTGACATAGGAAGGGCTCAGGAATCAGTCATTGGTGGAACAACCCAGATTTTCAATCACAGCTTTCATGCGTCTTGGCTCTGCAACACCTTTCACATTGCTGCGTGAGTTTGTGTGCCAGGAGAGACATAAAGTCACCCAGCAACAATGTGACAGACTGGTGGCGAGCAACCAAGACGCATTGAAAGCTGTTATTGAAACATCGGGGTTATTCCACCAAAGATTGATTTCTGAACTCGTCCGAAGTTCAAACATTAGTATTGTGTTGTTTAATAATGAAGAACTTTCTTTGCATTATTTGAGGTTTGAAAACACAGCATTTTCTCTGTTATTCTGACCAGTTGTAATTTTCTGCAAATAAATGCTCTAAATGACTTTTGGGAGAGATGTTGTCAGTAGTTTATAGAATAAAACACAAATGGAAATGCCAACAAGCTTAATAGGTCAAACAGTGCAAACATGCAACAACAACAACATGCAACATGGAAGCCTAAATACTTGCCATATGTAACAGTAGCCAACTTTTCAGAACCCCGCTTCACAATGTAAGCTGATTTGTCAAAGTCTGAATTTTGGGTGCCAGCTCAACTTTACCAAGTTTTAACATCACCTGCTGAGCAAAGTGGAAAGTGTTTTTCATGCACTTTGGGTACTCCAGTTGCAGGGCATAAATGAGTCTGAACAGGACACAGAAGGCCTGGGGCAGGTTAGCCGGTCCATCCATCAACACATTCCCCTCCAAGACGATTGCCACACTGGATGGGTTGAGCTGAGGATTTTCTCCGACAGAGGATTCCCAGTGGAGTTTGACTGTACACCTCCTTATCAGCCGCATCCTAACAGAGAAATAAAGAGTGACAGATCATTCTACATCGTCCACCAAAAAGTAGCTTCCACTGTTTATAATGAAAAGCATCATACATATTTAAAAAACATATCATATTTCATTTATATTGTTGGTGAATTAGTTAAAGACAATATATATAAGGATTAGTGTAAGTTAAATTTAGTTCCGTATTTTTTTAAACTGAATAATGTCCCGGGTCAATTTCACCCAAACATTACCAAAGGGTGCAAAATGTGAACATAACACAAGGGTTAAAGTCACTTACGGTGCAGGTCTTGAAGAAGGCAGAAGGCTCATCCCTCAAGAGGATTGGCAGACCCCGAACACAAAGGCATCTGATGGCTCAGTGGTCTGGAATATACAAATACATTCTACAAACTCTACACAATTACTTGATTGCAAATATACTTGAAAGTAAAGGAGAGGACAAAAGGAGATGACATGATGGGAGAATAGAAAAGGGAGAGAACATAACTTCTTCTTGACGAAAGAATAGAATAGCAAACAAAACAAGAGAGCAAAGCAAAAGGAACAAGGGAAAAGAGGAAACAATGACACATGAAGAGATGCAATTCAATTGACAGGACAAGAGCAGCAAATGAGAGAAAAGAAGAGATGAGAAGGAAGTCAAAGGGACAGAAGAGGAACAAGGAGAGAGGAAAGAGATTGGGTAGACAGATGTTAAGTAAACCCACCTTTGTCTGACTTAAAAGCTCAGACAGAAATTGGCCAGTGACACCCTTCTTCTTCCTAAAGAGGTCCATCAGGCTCGGAGAGAAACGGTCAAGTGCATCGAAGAAGTTGTCCTTGAGATTTTCCCCCACCACTCTGTTGAACTCGCAATAAACCTGAAACACAAAAGAGAACAAACCATGTAAAACTGTCAAATAAAATCATCCTTGGTGAAACAAATAAGTGCATTTTTTTTATTTAGACAGCTTTTGCTTGCTTCACCATCTGATTTTTCAAGATGCCTCTGTGCACTTCTCACAGTAATATCTTAATAAAATCAGATATTTAAGTAGGTATGAGGATATAACTACATTTTATGAACATTACATTTAGAACACAAAAGGACAAACAAACCTGGGGAGGTTTCAGCCTGGAACCTCCACCCCGCTGCGGGACCCGTGGTGGGACCCCCGAGTCAGACGATGCGTCTTGGTCACGCTTCATATCGGCCCGGCCCGGGAAGAGACACGCAGCACACCCTCGCGGCCATCAGAGTCGAACCCGCAGTTCGGAGGAACCGACCGCCAGGACACCGGCACCAGGCCGGTGGAGGCCCTCCGATGGTGGGTTGCGTTTGCCATTCTATCAGTGAGAAGAGAGGACAAAAATGCAACAAGAATTGTCTAAATCGGTTAATATATGGATGAGTGGTGGGGGTGTGGTGGGGGGGGGGAACGGCTGGACACAGGCCGTGGGGGGACACCCGAGACCGGGCTATGTCCCCGTTAGAAGGAACCAGGTGAAATAGCCATCCAGCTATTTTAGCCGGGCCGGCTAAAATGATTGGTCGTGCTTTTTACAGCGCTACGGCTTCCACAGATGAACATTTTGTATGTATGTATTGTCAAAGCATTTCATGCATTGCTATCGGGATGTTAAGAGCATTCCATGGAATATAACAATAAGTGTTTCTGAAATAAATTACATACCCCACCTTTAAGGGACGTTAATCAACAACATCTGATAACGTAATGTGGTTGCTAATGTTAGCTAAATGGCGTCTCACCTGATGTAGTAGCACAAAGCAGCCGTCCAAGCGCCACCCTCCTCTCCCTATGATGGAAGCCTGAGACAGCCTGTGGTGGCAGGGTTCGAGCGTCCGGCGTTAATGTGGGGTGGTGTCCGACTCACACGACTAAAAGAAAGGTGACAAAAACAGCAACTGGGTGAAAAAAAAATCTACGTCTTTCAGTGAACACGAACAAGTGAAAAAAGTACAGCACTATCTGTTTAAAACTATCTGCACCTCGTAGCCTACTATCGCTCAGTAAAAGTTAACAAAAGCGAGGGAAACACACATTGCCTGACTGCAGTAGTGTAGAAGTATGAGGGGCCGTACAGGCCATAATTCATACTGGTCCTCTCACGCACATACATTCTCCTTTTACATACATATATTTTCACTCTTACATACATACATTCTCCTTTTACATACATATATGTTCACTCTTACATACATACATTCTCCTCTTACATACATATATTTTATAATATGCATGTCTGAAGAGAATATATGTATGCAAGTGAAGAATGTATATATGTGTGAAGACAATATATGTATGTGAGAGAAGAATGTATGTATGTGTGAGAGAAAGTATAGTGGAAACGGAAGGAGTATGATTGAAACGGAAGGCAGGTCATTCTTGCGCTGTGATTGGCTCAGAAGGTCGAGCGGGGCGGGCTCATGTTCAGAACTTCTGATTCAAATCAACATGATGGGAGGGAGATGAATCGCGTAGATTGCAGCAAGCATTAGGGGTTTTAATGCGTTCGCTTTACTTATCAGAGCGTGCCGTAAGGGCGGTTACTCTTTGGTTTATAAACTCCCGCCTGGGACGGACTGATGCATTAGATTATGTGCTATATGGAGGGGACTTTGACAGAGTATTTCTCACAAAGTAGCCTACACAGTAAAAGTACTTCAATGTATTGTTAGTAGCAGTCAAACTAGTACCGAGTCCAACAGTGTCAGTTTTATGAAGAACTTGTGGTAAAATATATTTGTAAAAAGAAAATGAAGAGCTACTGATTTGAAAAAACGGCTCTCTGTATAGTTTAAATCTCCTAACAATGTTGTCCATTTATTCTTCTCCCCTCGAGTCCAACAGTGTCAGTTTTATGAAGAACTTGTGGTAACATATATTTGTAAAATATGAAGAGCAGCTGATTTGAAAAGACAAACGCGAGAGACGGCTGAGTGACCGCAGAATCGCTGTATAGTTTAAATCTCCTAACAATGTTGTCCATTTTAGACACATGCTTATTATATTTACAGCCTTAATAACATTCATTTTCTGGGCTCAATGTGTGTCTGGGCCGTTTTCGTTGTGATCGCTAAATTCCCCTTGTTTATAATTATGTTCAACGTTCCAAGCAAACGAGTGCTTTTGTTTTGAAATCACTTCCGCGAGTATCGCCCCCCCCCTCGCTACAATGACCATTAGACCATTTAGTAAGGTATCAAACAAAAAGCAAAAACGCCTCGCAGACACTCTTCCGTTTACTTGTTTAATAAAGAAAAACAAGTGGTCCGTAGATACACGGAGTCATCTAACCCTAACCCTCTCCCTCCATCATGTTGATTTGAATCAGAAGTTCTGAACATGAGCCCGCCCCGCTCGATCTTCTGAGCCAATCACAGCGCAAGAATGACCTGCCTTCCGTTTCAACCATACTCCTTCCGTTTCCACTATACTTTCTCTCACACATACATACATTCTTCTCTTCACAATACATACATTCTTCACTTGCATACATATATTGTCTTCACACATACATACTTTCTTCTCTTGCATACATATATTCTCTTCAGACTGCATATATTATAAAATATATGTATGTAAAAGGAGAATGTATGTATTTAAAGTGAAAATATATGTATGTAAAAGGAGAATGTATGTATGTAAGAGTGAAAAGTTGTATGTAAAAGGCGCATGTATGTATTTAGAATGCCACTTCTGTCTGTACGGCGCTGTATGTCATTTAGAGTGACCTGTATGTCTGTCCCGGGCTGTATGTTGTAGACTGCCTCTCTGTATGTCAAAGGGAATGTATGTACTGTAGCGTGACCTCTATGTATGTAAAAGAAGAATGTATGTGCGTGAGAGGACCAGTATGGTTTACGGCCTGTACGGCCCCTCATATAGAAGTGCTGCAGTTAAGTGAGGTAAATCAACTGAACACTTAATGCGGTCGCATTATCGCAAGATCTAGATCCCTCCGCGGGCTCCATGATCACACTGCGGGGAACCCCCCCCCCCCCCCCCCCCCTAATGACCACCTAGCAGCACATTCTACCGCTTATTACACGGCTACATACTAAAAAAAAAATCAATCGATTTTTAAATGATTTAATTGACTTAAAAATGATCGTAATGCTTCCGCCAAAATAAAAAGTCCGTTCCACTGAACGAATGGAACTTTAATTCTGAAAATAAACGGCAGCATTATTCGAATTTATCTGTAACTGTCAATGTCTGTTAACATTTTATTTTCCTCTAACAAGTACTTAAACAATGCAAGAGAAGCCCACACCGTGTTCCCGCCAGTTGATACTTCCTGTGGCTGTGTTACACCCAAAAGTACGAGAATTCAACCAAGCCCTGTTAGCTAAATCACTCACCAGATTCAGTAGATAAGGCAGCCATGCAGCGTCCTTCCTTTGGAAGCGTAGACAGCGCGGTGGAAGGGTGCAAGTCCGTCGTTCAAAGTGGGGTTGCGTCCGACTGAGAAATTGCGAGTTGGAAACGTGGCTGCTGCACATTAAAATATCCTTCTCTTTCCCATAATGCATTGCGAACATGACTAAAACTTAATAATGTGAAGTTACTTAACTTAAAATTATTGACACATTGCTTAACTAACACATGTAAGTATTATATGCTTACATTTGGTAGTCAGTAAGTAGAATAAGCTTACATTTGATAGTAATGCAATGAAACTTAAATAATGTCACTAATTTGTAATTCATTATTTAATTAGATATGAACTCCGGGCTAACAGTGTACAGATCAGAGTGGGAAGGAACGGTAAGACACATGTATTTGCTATTTTGTACATAATACAATAATGCAAATCATAATGATAATAATTTGTATTATAACTATTATGATTTATCCTCACCTTGTTTGAAGAGCTGGGAAATGTGGGAATGGTGATGATCCCAGATGATGCTCAAACATGTATACTTTGATCAGAACACACCCATGATTTTGACGCTTATTGCCATTGGTTAGTGGGAAAGAAAGGCTTTGTTCATTCGAGTAACAAGTGTGGGGCAATGCAGAATAAACATTCTTCATCATGTTGTTGCTTGCAAAGGGGTGGTCTTGGCTAGGATTGTTGGGATCCGTCCTAATTTTCTCAAGAGATGAATAGTTGGTTAACACGTTTTGCGCTTCCTGGCAAATGTCTAATGTATTATAGAGATGTGTAGATTAAGTAACGTAGGTTATGATGGGTCCAGGTGCCTCTCTTTGTGAATATATTACATATTTTAGTGAGTTCCCCAAACAAATGATTCTGAACTAGGAGGATATTTCGTCAGTCCCTTTAATCAGTTTGTCAAAGTGTCAGTAGCGGTGACGTGCGGTGAGGTAAATGGCAGGGGAGGCAGAGCCTGCGTCTCAAGATATTTACTATATTATTATATAGCTAAAAAATAAGCCAGAAAAAGATGAAGCGTATCCCAAAACCATGTCAAATGCAGTATGGCAAAAATGCATGCAACATACTTTGCAAGTGCAGCTGAAGTAGGTACCTACTACAACTACAAAAAGTAATATGCAATTTGAGACAGCGTTAGCAAAGAACTTAGATGTTCTTCTATACTCTGGCATCAGTCAGCCAACCAACCCATGGCAATCATTCATTATCATCAGCTGGGGCTGCTTTGGATCGAATCTGCTGGGGTCTCTATGGTGTTTTCTCTTTTATTATAAACCCACGTTCTGATATCCATACTTATTCTTGAGCTGTTTTTTGGTTAAGCAAAACTGCTACCGAATGCAATGGCGAAAGTTTAACTAATCATTTAGAAAGAAAACTATACCGTTGTTTGCCCTGAGGTTCAAGTGACTTTGTTTTTTATCATAAACATTGTGTTTTCCATCCAATTGCCTCAAGACCTTAGATTATCCTCCACACTAGGCTTCTGCACATATCCACTTGATGATCACCACTTGCATTGATTTGTTTAGTGATTTATTCAACAGTGAAACACCCGTGATGTTTTCGGTCAGAATTGACCGCCATAGGAAATGAATGGGTATTCTGTTTACCAATCTCGTTACATAAAGGTTTGAAATGTTCATCCTGCAGATGGAAAACACCTCCACACAGATGTGAATGTTTTGATCAGTTCTGTGGAAGTCACACACCCACTTTCATTGGAAGAACATTGAGAAATAATTGTGGTGCAAGAAGTAAAAAAAAGCAGGAATGTACAACACACACACACACACACACACACACACACACACACACACACACACACACACACAAGGCAAGACAAGGCAAGTTTATTTATATAGCACCTTTCAACACAAGGCAATTCAAAGTGCTTAACAAAAAATGAAAGACATTAAGAAAATGGCATTTAAAATCAGTCATTAAAAAGAAAAGATAATAAAAATAAACATTAAAAGAAAAAGTACATGGATCAAAGTTACAGTGCAGTCTAAGATATGAATAGTTCAATTAAAAGCAGTGACAAAAAGAAAAGTCTTCTTGCTGGATTTGAAAGTAGTCAGAGTTGCAGCGGACCTGCAGGTTTCTGGGAGTTTGTTCCAGATATTTGGAGCATAATAACTGAACGCTGCTTCTCCATGTTTAGTTCTGACTCTGGGGACAGAAAGCTGACCAGTCCCTGAAGACCTGAGAGATCTGGATGCTTCATCATTTAGCAGGAGGTCAGAAATGTATTTGGGGCCTAAACCATTCAGTGCTTTATAAACCAGCAGCAGTATTTAGAAATATATTCTTTGACACACAGGAAGCCAGTGTAAAGACTTCAGAACAGGAGTGATGTGATCCACTTTCTTAGTGTTAGTGAGGACTCGAGCAGCGGCGTTCTGAATCAGCTGCAGCTTCCTAATATATTTTTTAGTGAGACCTGTGAAGACACCATTGCAGTAGTCCAGTCTACTGAAGATAAAAGCATGGACAAGTTTTTCCAAATCCTGCTGTGACATTAGTCTTTTAATCCTAGATATATTCTTTAGGTGATAGTAGGCTGATTTAGTAACTGTTTTAATGTGACTGTTGAAACTCAGGTCAGAGTCCATGACTACACCTAGATTTCTGGCTCTATCTGTTGTTTTGAACATTGCAGACTGAAGCTCAGCGCTAACTTTTATACGTTCTGCCTTGGCTCCAAAAACCATTACCTCAGTTTTCTCTTTGTTTAATTGGAGAAAGTTCTGACACATCCAGTCATTGATTTGTTCAATGCACTTACTCAGTGTTTGAATTGGAGCATAGTCTCCTGGTGAAATTGTTACGTAAATGTGTGTGTCATCTGCATAGCTATGGTAACTTATTTTGTTGTTCTTCATTATCTGAGCCAGTGGTAGCATGTAGACGTTAAAGAGAAGAGGCCCCAAGATGGAGCCTTGAGGAACCCCACATGTCATATTTGTCAACTCAGATGTGTATTTACCTATATAAACAAAGTTGTTTCTGTCCTTTAAGTAGGATTCAAACCAATCCAGAACTGTTTCCGAAAGTCCCACCCAGTTCTCCAGTCGGTCTAGTAATATGCTGTGGTCAACAGTGTCAAACGCAGCACTGAGATCTAATAATACTAACACTGAAGTTCTGCCACTGTCTGTGTTTAAGTGGATGTCATTAAATACCTTTACAAGAGCAGTCTCAGTGCTGTGGTTTGGACGAAAGCCTGACTGGAACACATCGAAACAGTTATTTAAATGCAAGAAATTACTCAACTGTTGAAAAACAACTTTTTCAATGATTTTACCTAGAAATGGAAGGTTTGATATGGGCCTGTAATTGTTCATTACTGAAGCATCTAGATTATTCTTTTTTAAGAGCGGTTTAATGACTGCAGTTTTCAGGGCCTGTGGAAAAACACCTGAGTGAAGAGATTTGTTTACTATATGAAGTAGATCTGAGGCCATGCAAGGCAAAACATCTTTGAAAAATCCTGTTGGAATAATATCAAGGCAGCAGGAGGAGGATTTCAGAAGTTGTATAATCTCCTCTAGGTTTTTATCATTAATCTGATGGAACTGTGTCATGATGTCTGAATTGATGTTAAGTGGAGATAGAGACAACACATTTGCTGTTCCTGATGCAGAGGCACTGACTGCTTGTCTGATTTTCTGAATGTTGTCAGTGAAGAAGGCAAAATCATTGCACGCCCTGGTGGATAGAAATTCAGAGGCTACTGACACTGGGGGGTTAGTTAGTCTGTCGACGGTAGCAAACAAGGCACGTGCGTTGTTTTTGTTTTTGGTAATGATGTCAGAGAAGAACGATTGTCGTGCGTTTTTCAATTCCAAATTATAAAGGCCAAGTCTCTCTTTATAGATTTCAAAGTGAACCTGGAGATTTGTTTTTCGCCACCTGCGTTCAGCTTTTCGACATTCTCTTTTTTCTGCTCTCACGGTCATGGCCTTTCTCCATGGAGATATTTTCTTCCCAGTCACTTCCTTTACCTTAGTTGGAGCAATGGCATCTATACACATTTTTATTTTTGAATTAAAATGATCTACTAGCTCATTTACTGAGATGTTAGCAGGGGCAAGTGTGGAAGAGAAATTCTGAGTAAACATTTCCCTAGTATTTTCAGTTAAATATCGCTTTGTGGTTAGCGACCTCTTTTTGAACAGAAATAGAGCTCTCAAAGAAAACACAGGAATGGTCAGAGAGTGCAACATCAGTCACCACAACCTCAGAGATATTCAGACCCTTTGAGATAATTAAGTCCAGAGTGTGCCCCTTATTGTGCGTGGGCTCCGTCACATGCTGAGTCAGTCCATAGCTATCAAGAACACAAAACAGTTCTTTAGCCCCTCTGTCCTGGGGGTTGTCAACATGGATGTTAAAATCACCAACAATGACTAGACGGTCAAAGTCAATACACACTATAGACAGCAGTTCAGTAAAGTCATCAAAAAAGCTTGCACAGTATTTGGGTGGTCTATAGATATTTAGGAACAGAGCTCGAGAGGAGCATTTCAGCTGAAGGGCCACATATTCAAAATAATCAAAGTTTCCATAAGATGTCTTCCTGCATTGAAGGGAATCATTGAACAGAATAGCAACTCCACCTCATTTCTTATGCATTCTTTCCTGACTCATAAAACTGAAGTTGGGAGGGGTTGATTCGATAAGAACAGCTGCACTGTTATTTTGTTCAATCCAAGTTTCTGTTAAAAACATAAAATCGAGATTGTGCTCAGTGATAAAATCATTGATTAAAAATGTTTTTCCTGCCAGAGACCTGACATTTAATAAAAGCTAGTTTAAGTTTGTTAAACACACTATCAGTCATGTTTTTTGTAACAAGCTGTGGCTGACATGGAATCACTGCTAAATTAGATAAACTCACACAAACGTTTGAGCGCTTTGTAACAGTTTACTTATTTGGGGTGCCAGTCAGGTCTCTCTCCTGACGTTTCAGATGTGGCTTAGTCAGTCAGTTTTTGTAAATCTGCACAAAGGTGTATACATCTCTCTATAAACACCCCACATTGAATGACATTAAAATATAAGAAAAGACACAACTCAAAATCATAATCACAAGTAGTAAGTTTATTTTTGAATACAAACAAATTTGTCTTCCCACAGTTCAAAATGTAAATCCAAAACGTTCCACTCTGGGTGTCCTTCAAAATAAATAAAACAGTCAATTACCACAGGAGAATGTCAGTCGGTTTGAGCAATCCAGTCCTGGTTTTTAAGGTTTTGTGAGATGAGCGGCTCCTTTCAGCTTTGTATGCAATAATCCAGGAACGTGAAGCAAGGGTATGATGCCGGATGACGGTGGACCAGACAAACGGTACGGACTGTAAACGACCTAACTGCTGGTTGCTAACAGATGAGCGTGTTGCTCCGCCGATCCCTCTTGCTGCACACACCTTTTCCTTCCGGCTCCGTCTAACTAAATAGGGGGAAAAGGAAATGAGGCGCCAACCAACAGCGAATCACTG